CCCCAAAACCCCAAAACCCCAAAACCCCAAAACCCCAAAACCCCTTCTATGCCTAGAAATATTGAATCTTATTGAGTTATATCGATTATTTCAGACGCTACCATTTTGACTTATTTCTCTAAAGGATTATTATAAACCTGCTTACTGTTCCTTAGATTTAACTTTCTTTTCCTCTATAAAATTTGTAAGAAAATTAAATAATTTAGTAAAGATTCACGATGGGTTCAGATTGAGACCAAGATCACAAGTTGAATTTATTACTTCTCAGCAATGCCAACCCAAGCAGGAAATGTCTACTTACATTAGTCCGAACCTTCTTGGTCTTACCAAACACTAGTTGATGAAGTTTGTTGAATCTATTGAGAGAATTATATGCAGATTTACTCTTTATCTCTCACAAAGATTTTATTTCAGTCTTTTATTATCTTATCTACTGTGCTAGCATCTTGCTCGAAATCAACAGCTACCGACTTCAATCCAGAGGATTTAGTATCTTTAGACCTAGCTGAACTAACAGTATACTTTCTCTGCTGAGAAGCAGGACTTCTATAAGTCTGAGCAACTCTCTTAGCCTTCATTGATGGTGGACTAGAACTATGGATAAGTATATAAAACTACTCAAATTGGTCTCTTTTAGAGTTCTAAATCAATTAGCTGGGTAATAATTACCACAGAGTGAATGCTACTTTCAACTTCTTCAATTTGCTTTAGATTTACCTGTGCCTCCTCCACTTTACATCGAGGCATACTATTAATGAAGATAACGAATTACCTCTGATTCCTTCGCTTTTTCCTTTTCAAAATGTAACTAAAGGGAACTACTAATGATTCTTTGAAATCACAGTTTAACTTCTTCAACATTTGATCTAGATATATTAACACTTTAGTACCTTTATTTTATCAACTTATCCGATAGAATAAATTGAGGTAAGAACCCCATCGAACTGCTTCTCCTCGCTTTCCTATTTATGAGTTTAATGAACATACTTGTCAGACTTTTTCAAGTGAGATTTAATCTTGGTCCTTTTAGGTTAAGCTTGGTAAAGATTCTACAGTTTAAAGATGTCATACGTCTAAAACTCTGAAGCTTTTCTTTCCTTGGGTCAGGGTTCATCCCTCCATTTACTTGAAGATTGATTCTATTGATTGGAGTTACCTTCTTCTTTGAAATACTCTACCAATCAGAATAAACTAATTACTCTTTTGCCGAAAGAGAAAGAAATTGCTCCTTCTGGACTTTCAGGTCTTTCTTCTTCTTTATTTACCAATAAGCCTGGCTTGCTTGATGATCTCATCCACTCTGCCGAAGCCTGAGAATCTTCGTTGGTTATTTGATAGAGCTTCTTCTGGAGGCTGCAATATTTGTGATTCCCATTTCTTTTTCTGCCTCTAGGGATCATATGAATTACAATACCTGAGGCTTGGAGAGAATAATCTATGTGGAGCTTCTCAAAATTCAACTTCTTTATAAATTCATTAACTTTCTGGATACTATCTGCTGACAAGTGGGTATTAAGTTTAGTGCTTCCAGAGGAGAAGATACCTCCACCTTCCTCTTCATCTATTCCATCTAAGTTGAAGTATTTCATGAGCTCATCTCCAAGGTCGAAGTAAGTCATGTTCTTCTGTCTGTCTGTTCCTGTATCCTTCTCGGAAGAATCAGGAGCTCCTTGAGAAGAATCACTATCGGAATCATATCGGTCAGGAACTTTGTCCTCATCTTCCACTCTAGAAATTAAGAAGTGGTGCATACTTTCGGGAAGGCTTTTTAGTTAAAGTCTTGTAGATACCCTTCTTTTCTTTCTGATCTTCTTGCTCTTTCTTCTGTTTCTCAATCTTGTTCTTTTGTGTAATATATTTGAGAACTCCTTGATGAGCCTGGGAGAAGCGCACAAAGTTACGCTTTGCTCTATAGGCTTATTAGAATTAACTTACTTGCTAGGCTGAAGGAATTCTTCTATTAAACTTGTATATTCATTCTTATATTCACGTGATTTTGAAGTTCCTAGCAATTCATTCATCTGTTTGGCTCCTACCTATAGAAAATGTGTCAGATATGTGAAAATTGCGTTGAATATTCTTAGAAAAGGGAATTCATTTTTTGGGACAAAATTCAAAACCAAAAAAGGAATAATTTTTCCTCACAAAAGACAAGATTTTCTTTAAACCTTGTTGTTTTAGGGGCTTAAAGTGGCATAATCTTTCTCACAAAAATGATTTTTCCCAAACTAAAAGCTGAGCCACTTTCTGCCCACAGGCTTCCTTAAGACATTAGACTTACAGGATTGCCTTCCTCTTGGAGTCTTAATCTGGCAAGTTTAAGTTTGATTAAGAACTCCTTTTCCTTCCTGAGGCTCTTCTGTTTCCAATCAAAAAGATCATCCTCTTTGGGAACAATGGAGTTAGAGTTCACTATAGAATTAAATGGTTTATTCACCTTCATCAACTCCTGGGAGATAGCCCATCTCACACATTTTTCTCTGCCGTTTTGGATTCATGATTCTTGGGGTCCCCTTTGGTTTCTAATAAAAGAGTTGTAGGGGTTTTGAGGGAAAGGAATCTTACCTGGGGCTCACTTGATTGACTCAAGCTCTTAACAATCTTGTTGTCCTATATAGAGAACTTGAGTTCTTAGTAGTTATGAATAATAAGCTCCTTGTTTAATAAAATGTCGACTTTAGAAGTTTCCGATTTTATAAATCCTAGTTTTATGCTAGCTATCCTAAATAATCCTTTTGCTTACACAGGATGGGGTTCCTTCCATTTTCTTTGATGTACTCTCCAGTGTTATAATTAAAAATATATAAAAATATTTGAAGGTAAAATATGGGGTTTTGGGGTTTTGGGGTTTTGGGGTTTTGGGG